CAAAGCATTAAAGGCTCACCACAGGGAGGATTCATGCACTTTGGAGAGGACAGAACTCATGAACATAACTCCAGGGACTTATTCCTGTTCCATTCTTACTCCACCATTGCCGTGTTTTCAGCTCTCTCTTTCTTTTCTCTCGTCTTCCTGACTGCTCTGTTCTTTCTGTGCTCAGCATCATATTTTACAGACGTGTCTGTTGCGGATTCTGGTTAACATGACATTTTCCGGGGCTGAGGTTTGCATTGGTCTGTTCACAGAGCAGAAATTCACATCCGAGTTCACAACTATGCTGGAGAGACTTCCTGAAACAGCAGAAGGAGCTCGTGGACTGTTTCATTGATGCAAACGTCGGGGTGACCATTATTAGATTTTATTGTCAACTGACAATTATTTCCCGGCCTGATGTCGGGTGTGAACTCAAAAAGGCTTGCTGTACACCACATGAAACCACCCTGAGTCACATTTTTAATGAAATCTTTTCTTTCTTTTTTTTAACTTTGAGCAAAACACGTCTGGGCGCAATCTGCAATTTTTTTTCCATCTTTTTCTTTGGTTTCATAATAAAGGAGCAAAAAGTAAGTCGACACCGCGGCACCTTCAGCTGTTTATTTCCTGTCCCATCTCAGTTCAGTCATCCATCAGCGAACGCTGTGAGGACATTTCGTTCCAGTCTGAGCGTCGCTGCAGGTGAAGCATCTTCACTGAAGTGAAGTGAAGTGCACAATTAGAAATAATAAACAAGTGTAAAGCGAGCTGGAGGATAGATGAGCTTTATGTGTGTTTCTGCACATGGACACTGTGTGCATGTGTGCGTGCTGTGTACACAGAGAGCTCATGTCTGTATGGGGCAGTAAAACATCTGTGTTTGTACAGCATGTGTCAAAGTGTTTTACAGGAGCAGAGGAGGGTAAATTTAAAGGTCGTGTCACTGCGGAGGACTGAGCTGCTCATGTAAGACGTGTTGAATGAAGTTAGAGAGCAGAGAGGGTCACAGGACTGATGGATGTGCAGTGATATCCCTGCAGCCTCATCACGTCCTGTTTCACAGATCACCTGAAAATGATGCTGACATCCAAAAGGAGGCCACGGTCACGCTCACAACTCTGTTGTCTCCGTGCTGGCTCGGCTGTTCGTTCGTCATCACAGAGCAGGATGAAAATCTTTGAAAAGTATATTTATATATCAACAAATTCTGAATCGTAAAGATGTCAAACATTCCTGCTGTTTAGTTACGTGTGTTGTGCAGTGAGCTGTAAATGGTTCTGTGTATGTAATGTTGGATGAAAAGCTGCTTATTTTTATTTATTTATTTTTTTAATGGATCCTCATAAAAGTGAAGATTCTCTTTACATCTGTAAGGATTTCAGATGGTTTTCTCCAAATCGGATTGGCTGATCCAAAAGATGGATGGATGTACTTTCTGTGATGGCCACCTTTATTGAACAGGTTTCTTTCTGCTGTAAATTTGGATATTTAGAGGACACTAGTGGACGTTAGAGGAACTGCAGTTTTTTAGCACATCTTTCAGCTCTGCAGGTCCCATTGGAACATGCTTCAGGTAGGGGTGCTGCGGGGAGAGCTGTATAAATGAAGTTTTCTAATATGATGGTGGGTTTTAAGATGAAGTCAGATGTGGAATAAAAACTAATCTTGGTGTCTTTTTTGAAGTCTCAGGTTTTTTTTATGAATGGGGGAATGCGCTACAAGATCAAACTGAGCTCTGTCGGACCGATTACACTCTTGCTTAAGAAGGAACTTTTCTGTCCACCAGGGTTTGCACATTTGGTCCGTAAACCGGAAATCTCACCACAGTGAAATTTCTCACCTCTCTTTGTATTTTCTTTTTGTAGCTCTCTAACGCACTGAATGCAGGATTATTCATTCATTCATTCATTGGAACTACCGTACAGACAGGGCAATGAGTTTTGGAACAATGACACATTTCTCTGTGATCTCTGTTCAGGAATTACAGTTTAGTATCTTTCCATGAAACTCTAAAATAAAAGCTCCAAAGAAAGGTCATTGCATTGATGGAGGCCATCATTAGGCTGAAAATTTAAAATAAACCAGAGAGAAAGGAAACATTTTAGAGGTGGAAAAATCAGAATGTCACTGAGCAGCTCGGCAACAACAAAAGGCCTGAAAACGTGCATGATGACAGAATTATTTCTGTGCTTAAAAAAATAACTTTTAACCCACGAAAGTGATGCTAGAGGGGTCAGAGGGGCCAGAGTATCACTGTCCAGGTCTACATTCAAGAAATGCCTTCATGAAATACACAGACTTTACAACAAGGTGCAAACCGCTGGTTACACTCAGGAGTGGGAAGGTCAAAGTTCACAAAAAAGCATCTAAAGAGCTGTGCAGATCTCCAGAAAATCCTTTGGACAGATGAAACCAAGATATAAATCATTTTGAGAATAAATGTGGAGATTATTAGATTGTTGTTTCACTGCCACGGCTGCTGTTCCCTTTCCAAAAGCCTTGGTGAAAAAAAAAGTGCTGCATCATCCATCATCTTTATTTCAGGAGGCCATAACCGTCAATTACCCCACATCCGACCACCGCAGATATGTTTCATTTTGGACAAATAAACTCTTCCACATTTGGTTGTTTGTCCTTCTGACCAGATGCTGCTTTCTGCTACATCGCTATTCATTTCAGTTTAATTTATACAGCGCCAAATCACAATAACAGTCGCCCCAAGGCGCTTTATATTGTGAGGTAGACCTACAATAATACAGACAAAAACCCAACAATCATATGACCCCCTATGAGCAAGCACTTTGGTGTCCAGGGGACTGGATAATAAGGACTGATAAAAGGAGGTTTGATCCTTATATTTAAGGTTATGTGAGAGTGGCCGGTCTTCCTACTTTGGCAAAACGTCCTACTGTAAGTATAGTTTATGCACATTTCTGCTGTCACAGAGTTATTCCAGCACAAATGTAAGTAGGTATGAGGGTTTGCCACTTAACTTTGCCCATCAGAGTATGCTTGTAGCT